GAGCCCAGCGATTTGTCTCAGAAAGTCAATTTCAGCTAATTGTGCTAGAAACCGAAGTTACTCAGACATTGCTCATTGAGGATGTGGCTGAAGGTCGACTTTAACAGCGACAGATTCATTTTCAGCCTCAGTTCTGCCGTCGTCACAATGGTACCGACGTAGTCATGCAGGACGCCGTTGATCACTAAATTTGCCTAGGATCTCTTCCTCCAATTTTTCATCAGAAGTAAACACTAACTCAGCCATATGGCTGATGATTTCTGCTCCTGTATGACTGCTTCTTTGTTTATCCGCAGAGAGCAGCGGCAGGAGAATGAGGAAACACTAATCTTTACAGACGATCACACGTATGCAAAACTTATCAGAGAGCGTTGGAGATCACTTTCAGACGATTCAAATAAAACAAGGTCGTTGCAAACAGCAATCTTTTCCCTCAACGTCTTTTTTACGGGCACACACGTTGCCCTGGCTGCGTCTGAAAATTCCATGCATGTACAACACAAATAGGATTAGAGGCCAGTGCCAACGTGAAACGTTTTGACTTAACACCATGTACTCTGAAGCAGTACCTGCTATCAACATATAACGACTTAATGGCTACTCAACAATTTGATCTGGGCATCGTTTCCATAAGCAATGGGCTCGCACATAGATTGCTTCGCGGGTCCGCTTGTAGGCTTTTGCCAGGTCCACGCAATACATGCAAAACGAATGAGCGAACTTTCACGATTTCTCAGCAATCTAGCGTAAGACGAAGACCGAAAAGAGGTGCTTCGATCTGATCTGCTGTTTTGTTATATCGTTCTATAAGTTGTTCCCAAAGAATATTTTTATCCGACTTTGCAAAATAATACTCCAATGATTAGAGCTATTAAAATAACCTTCCATCTTTAACAGATCCAAAACCTAGTTCGTTCTTCAATCCACTACTGTCGTCATCGCAATTTCACAGACATGCCTTAGCCGCAATGAGCCTTGTACTCCTAAAGCTTTAAGCATTTCTAATCAGATTTCATCGACTTCAGTAGCCTTGCCACTTTTCAAGCATTTTACAGCTTGTGTGACTTCCTCTACTGATATCACTATCCTCTGATACTGATACTATTACCCGCTGCCTTCTGTTCTTCAGGAAGTTCTTCGTGCGGTTGCTTGGGGTTGAAAAATTTTTCAAAGGACTTCACCATCTCTGAAATATATCCTCTTTTTGGTACGAAGGAGCCGGGGTTTGTCCTTCAAGATTCCACCTTGGAGGCAGCGAATGGTCTGTCAGAACACCTTGTCTGTCTTCTAGAAATTGAACTCCACCGCCTAACCGAACTTTTCCCACGAATCGAGTTTCATATTGAACGCTGTCAGTTCAGCGGCTGCTCTGTGAACCTCTTC